CATCATCTTTTTCAACTGCAAACCAACGTTGAGAAATAAAATAAAATTTTTCCATGGTTTGTAAATCACGAATAATTATATATTTAAGAAACCATGATGATGATGAACCTTTACCTGTATTATCATGCCATATACGAATACAATTTAATAATCCTAATGATCTAAATAGAAAATTTAATATTTCAATTATTTATTAAATAATAGATTACTTTGGAACTGCCATTATAAATGAATCAATTCCACCACGTTGCAAAATTTTTCGTTGAGAATCGGCTAATGTACGAATATGTGTTTCATCATTATCGCCATATATAATAAAATGAACCTATAAATGAATTATATTTTCAAAATGTATTCTTTATTTTTCTTGTATCTTACGTTTGAATTTGTTCCAGCATTTTGTCGTTGACCAGTAAAAACAATAATCTGATAAAAATATTGATCTGATCGATGATTATCAGGTAATGGTGTAACTCCTAATTTTTCAATATCTTTTTTATCTTTAAAACGTGCATATATGATTAAAATTATATAAATTACAGATACACAAATGACTGTTAAATAAATTGTTTTATTTTTTATAAAATCAGCATTAGCAAATACATAATTCCAATTAATTGATTCAGGTAAAATAATAAAACCACCAGCGAAACTTGTTAAATGAGTTGAAAAACATTGAGTTTCATAATGATTTGTTAAGGAACCAACTGTTAATCCATTCGATTTCCATTGATTATTTTTATCAAGATAATAACAACCTGATGTATAAATTCTTAATTGATAATTTGATGTAAAATTAAATCGTTGATCTGTTATTGGGAGACTACTGATTGAAGTATTCGAACATGTATTCATCATTTCTGTTGAATTTAATTCTCGTAAACCATATATAATTGATTGATGATCGGATGTTTGTTGATTATTAATAAAATATGTATACAAAGTTTCATTTGTTAAATTCAAAGGACAAAATAGAGTCCATCCATCAATAGTATTAATTGAACTATTTAACTGAGGTAATTGATCAAATTTATAAATAAATAAATAAGCAAGACTTATATTTAAAGGTTGAATTTCAAAATGAATTGAAATCGAAAGAGAACTTGTAATATTCAAATAATGTAAATCAAATAATTGATTATGAGGAGTATAATTCATTGATGTAACATTTTGTAAGATCATTGATGGTATTATTATATTTGGATCTCGAGGAATAATTATTTCAATTGGATGACTCATATTTGTTTGAACAGAAATTTCATTTTCATTTTCATCCAAAATTGAGAATGTTACTAATCTCGAAAGATTTGTATATGTTGTATTATCATATGGAGCTAATGGTTCTATTATTGACTATAAAGAAAACAAAATCATGAAAATTATTTACAAAAAAATCAATAATAAATTTACTCGAATCGAAATTTTAGAATTATTATTTAAATTTTGAGGAAATTTATTTGAAAAAAATTCATTGGCTTTTGTTTCTAATGACATAAATACTTGTGATGTATTGATTAATATATTTTGTCCAATATTCAAATAAATATTTAATGATGAAGTTAATAATGATTTGAGATCATTCATTTGATTAGTGAT